TTAGAGTTGCAATGCATTTTGAGTTATCAGGAGTTATGGCGAAAACATGTAGAGATCAAGCGACCCAACGATGGAGTTGTTTACAATGAGTTCCCGTTTAACCATGAACGAATGAAATGCACTTAAACTAGTCACCAACGAAACGGTTAGACTGAGGAATCAGACTTCGTTCCTGTTTTATTTTGTTTTTGTTTAATTTAATTTTTTTAACGAATAAAGTCATTCAAGACTGAATCAAATTAATAGAGCCGAAATCAAGTTGATTGTTATTTTCTTTCGTAGATGACTTTCTTGTCTAAGTTTTCACCGGCGCTGATCAAAACTAAAGACAAAAAAGTGCAAACCCGAGCTATTCTCAAATCTTTTTTATCTCTGACTTCAATTCGCAGAACACTTTTTTAATCACGGTTAAAATGACAATGACAACAAACAACACTGAATAATATAGCAGGTAACCTTCGTGTTGTTTCATCTTGATAAACTTCAACATGAAGCATGTTTAATTTATTGATGAATTAATTCACGATAAAATTAACAGCACCCGTTCTTAGAGTTTTCATACATGGTTTAAAAAATGTATCGAAGAAAAGCCCTTACGTTGCTTAAAGCCACGCTCAATTACAAAAGGTAACTGAGCCCTAAAATCTTAGATCGCTTGCTGACGATCGTGCTTCCTTACGGGAATCCAGAATAAATGTAGCGGTAAATTTTCACAAATAAAACAAAGAAAGGAACCTGGTTATCCTGGAAATGAGTTCTGAAATCATTCCAAATAGCATTATCTCGTTTATAAGTGCACAATTAACGCAAATCCTAGGCCTTTTGATCACGACGGGAAAACCAGCGAAATGACGTCCTGAACTTGATGGGGAGAACGGCAACGCTAACACCGGAAGTCGCAATAGAGTCGTGTCCAGATTATCCGCGCGCTTTCCCGTTCTGAAATGACGACCCGTCTTCTTGCTAAACCATTCTATTGTTGCAGTCCCTGCGCGCTGAACAAAATCTTTGAAATTTACACTTTCGATCGCTGTTCACAGGGGTGGTCTGGCCAAAAGTCATTTTTGGCTTGTGGCGACGCAAAAAAAGAGAATTGGAAAACAACTAAACCAATTTTTAAACATGTGTCCTGAACCCTTTTCATGGGCAAAAAATAAAAGAAAACTATTGTCCGACGGGAAGTCGAGAGGAACGCTCTTAGCGAGAGCGGCACTTAAGTCGGGTAAAGAGGTCTTAACTTAGTTTGTATTGATTTATATGTATTAGTTATTATCATTTTAATCTCGGTCAAGCCCTGGGGCCGATCATGCAAAATTGCACGATGATGTTGACCTTTTCGGAAATGCTCGGATTACATCCGATCGCTCTGAAATTCCGGCTGTAGCAAGTAAACATTCTAAGCCAATCACATGGCGAGTTTTAGCTCCGAACTATCAAACGTGACCTCGGGAGCCCGATCCGAAAATCACTTGCGTACGATTTCAATCTGCGATAATGGCGTCCGATGCGAAACGCACTAGCGACTAAATACAGGAATGGCTCCAACCTGTGATTGGATGATAAAAATAGTAAAAGTTAATAACTTATATCTTAACTCCTTGCTCGTGAGTATGGTTAACCGCGTGTCTCGAAGCGGAACAATGAAATATCAATGTGAAAACGCCAATGAGTCAAACAAGAGAAGGCAGAGTCTAGCTTGTTCAGCAAGGTCATTCAGGGATATTCCGGCGATGAAAAAGTCATCCGCTGACAAGCTCAGCTGACAAAACTCATTTAGTCAGTTTAGGCGAACGACCAGAGACTAGAGCCATTCGTGTATTTCACCGCAGACAGGAATGGCTCCAACTCAGCGTATGTTAATTTTTTTTTCGTTCCGGTTAAATAATTCATACACTGAGATAAAAACTGAAAGGGCGATTTATTAGGTTCCTCTAAAGTTAAAGTCTACAGTGCTTGCAAGTGAAGCCCTCTTTTCTTACTACAGGGCTATGTAGTTCCTAAGTTTTAAAATAATGCAGCAACTGCATCTCACGTTTGGAAAATCACGCAATGTTGCGTGACGCTGCAACAGATGTTTTTAATTTACAGTATGCTCTGCTGGAGAAATATGGCTTGGCCCCAATCGAGGGAGTTTTTTTTTCGTGGAAAACTGATTTTCTAGGTTATTGTTCACATGAAGGACAAATCCATTCATCGGGCTCTTCATTTGTTTTAAAACTACTGTTCCCACAGCGCTGCTCACTAGTTTAGTTTTAAATTTTATTTTCAAAAACTGTTTAAAAATTACTTAAAAATTATTGACAAAAAAATATTAAACGTTTGAGTCGGAGCTATTCCTGTCTGCGGTGAAATACAGGAATGGTTCCAGTCTCTGGTCGTGCGCGTGGACTGACTAAATGAATTTAGTCAGCGGAGCTAGTCAGCAGATGACTTTTTCATCGCCGGAATATCGTTGAACGACCTCGCTGAACAAGCTAGACTCTGCCTTCTCTTCATTATGTGGGTAGCCATTTCTTGTTTGAGTCATCGGTTTTTTCACAATGATATTTCATTGTTCCGCTTCGAGACACGCGGTTAACCATACTCACGTGCAAGGAGTCAAGATATAAGTTATTAACTTTTACTATTTTTATCATCCAATCACAGGTCGGAGCCATTCCTGTATTTAGTCGCTTGTGCGAAACGCTAGAGATACAGCGTAGCTAAGGCTTTAGAGATGATTTTTGACGATGGAAGTGAGCATGGTGGTATCTCTAGTGGTGAGGAATCCGAATTAGATAGAAAACTGGAAAATCCTAGCGAAGAATCGAGGTAAGTAATCTGTAAACATTCTTGCGATATTTAAATGCGTGACGCATGTGGTGTTGAAACATCTACTTTTACTTTTCGCGCACGAATCCTTGATTTTTGCCTTGAAACAAACCTGTAAATGTATCTTTGTGAATGAAAAGCAATATATTTTGTGATCAAACGTGATTTTCAAGCGACAGAGAAAATAATCTTCGATGAAGTGAGAACGCAACGGCCTAAATTATCAGCCTATGACAGATCGAATGACGCAGTGTGCGTCCGAACTAAATCAAAATAAAATCTTTTATTTTTAAAACGATAGTTGTATTTATATCGACCTTTACATTATCTTATATGTTTTGTATGTTTTTTAGATGTGGTTCTACTTGTTACATGCCGAAAATTCACAAAACAAACAAATTATGCTCAAGAATGAGTGGAATAATGTAAAATGACAGTTTCCGGTTTCACTCCTGAATTGTTTTACTCTTGAGAAATACTGGTGGTGCATTGCAAGTGAAAGTCTTTCGATATATGTTGCGCTTTATGTATTTTGAGGTTGATTATCTCATTTGTCCCTGTTTCAAGGCAAAATTTCAGAAGTCAAACAAAGAAATATAGTTCCAATGGGCATAGGGTAAAATATGGACTGGACCATTTTTTGGACCATTTTTTGGACCATTTTTTGGACCATTTTTTGGACCATTTTTTGGACCATTTTTTGGACTATTTTTTGGACTATTTTTTGGACCATTTTTGGACTATTTTTTGGACCATTTTTTGGACCATTTTATTGGGGGAAGCACACCATTAGTACTCAGGGAGGGGTGGGATGCAGTCTACTAGTACTCAGGGAGGGGTGGAAGGCAGAGTGTTATTACTTAGGGAGGGGTGAGAGAAGGACTATTGCTAGGCAGGGAGAGGTGGGAGGTGGATGTAACAGTAAACACTACTTGTTAATGGAGCTTTTATTCGATCGTATAGATTATCTTCATCGGTTTTTCGACTGACTTTTTGAATGTTCTTCATTTTTGTCGTCATGCGAAAGCGAAACTGCCACGTAAACACTGGGACATAAAATAATCAGCAAACGATTTCGAAGAGGAATCCATATTCTCGTATCGAGCAAAAGCACTGCTTTACATGTAATATGGGAAAGATGGGAAAGCGCAAATATCGATTTTATCTGTTTCGCAAACAAAGGAGTTAATCACCCACACCGGAAATAGCGACCAGGCATTCCTTGCGACTCCCGTACGTTTGTTTTCCAATTTGCCTGGGCCGCTGCCAATCACTTCTTGCGTAAATACCTACGTAACCTGCTAAGTGGAAGTACAGTGGCTACTGTTGCTTACCGATATTTTCCGTCGGCAAAACGTAGAAGTCAGTAAATGTGACCGATTCTGCCCGGAAAATTTTATTATCTGGAGCTTGGATATGTCAGGAGAGTTTCATTGACAGCTGGATTAACTGCACCTCGTGTTGTGAAACCATTATAAAGACATCGCGCTTTCCTTCGCTTTTTTTGTCACATACTAAAGGGAAATGTGAGGCAATTGAAAGATGATTCATGCTATCCCGTCGGTATGCATGGTCGCTATGCATGGTCGGTATGCATGGTCGCTATTTCCGGTGTTGGTGATTAACTCCTTTACTTGCGAAACAGATGAAATCGATATTTGCGCTTTCCCATACTAAAAGTACAGCAGTGCTTTTGCTCGATTCGAGAATATGGATTCCTCTTGGAAATCGTTTGTTCGAAGTATTCCCGGAAAACCATCAACCCATTTTTGGAAAATTACAAAATCTCAAAAAGGTGTTACAGATGAACTTAGTATTAATATTTCTCCTGATACACTCTTTAGTCTAGTTTAGAGAACTTTTGCAGCAAAGAAGGGAGTAACTGAAGTTTTTAAGACCATCAATGATTTTCTGCATCGGCCACGTTCGAAACCTATAATGCAATTGTCACTCATGATTAGCCTATGTTCTATTGGAAATTGATTCAAAGTGGCTTTTTTTCAAACTTTGAAATTTTCCTTTCAATGATTGCAGAGTTTTGAACATCCGCTCTCGGCTAGAACAATAGAGTTACGCGACCGCCTCAGGGAGGGAGAGTTCCCGATTAGGCCATCATACAATCCTTGCCTTGCGTACTCATCTGTCTGCTGGCTTCTAACAAACTGAAAAGGATATTCAGGCCAAGCCTTTATCAGCTAAAGATGGCGGTGGTAATCCTTATTCTAACCACTTTTCTTTGGATGAGCTGTGAGTATACAACAGAAGTTAAAATTACTATTGTTTGACTTCAAGTTTAAAGAGCTAGTCAGTATAAACTCTATCATGGTGTTTATAATGTTTTTCATGCTTTATAGCACACGCCACTATGGTATCACATTGAATTTATGTAAATAAACATCAACTTAGGAAATGAATCGGCAAAAACAGTTAATTGTGTCCGATAGCCGCAACCTCATACAAATTAGGGACCTTAAGCAAACCACGACGGCGACGGCAACGAGGACATGGAAAAACAAAAGATCTAATTGTATGAACCATAGCGCAGCACGTGAGTTTTAAAACTTTGTACATTTCTTAGCCGTCCTCTGTAAAACAACAACGTGAAATCACCACAATTTGCGTCGCCTGCGAACCGAGACCACGACGGAAATTATTTTAATTTCCGTCTGGAGCTCAACGTTTCTTTTATACGTTATGCTGAAGTTGAGGTGTGGCGCCATATGAGACCGTGAACAAATGCAGCCATTTGCCGTCCTCACTGCTTAAGGTCCCTTATATTCCAGTGTCCATGAACGTTCTTTTTCTTCTTTTTTTGTTTGTTTGTTTGTTTGTTCAGTCTATTTTTGCTCGCTGATGTTGCCTACGGCTTCCTCGCTGCTTTGGACTCTAATAGAGGCAAATTTCTCAATTCTCTCCTTTAAGTTGTGTTCCGAATGTCGAACATCATTTTGCTCTACTGGTTGGAATAAAACTAGTGGCTTCCAACGAGCGATTGGCTAGAAAAATATAGGATAATTTCCCTAGTGAAAAAAATCAAAACATTTCCCTAAAACTGCATTTTTTCTCGTTGAGAACGAAATATCGTCTTAATTGAATGTTAACTAGAGTTAGAGTTCAGCTCGGTCTTGAGTGACTCGATGACATTGCTTCGTGAATTTTCAGGCAAAGAAAAAAGAGGATCGCAAGAAATTGATGAAAAAGAAGAGTTTGAACTGGGTGGGAGATAAAAAAAACAATTCAAAACCACCGTTGGTCTGCCGCTCAGCATCTATATGTTAAATCAATGGCCACGTTTCCTAATTTGCAGATCAATTTTAAAAAAAAGACAAAAACAAACAAACAAACAAACAAACAAACAAACTGGTAATCAGATTTTATGGAAACAGAAAAGGTTTGATACAAGCAAAGTGCAACTCCCCAAATATTTTTATTCGGAAATTGATGAAACCTGGCTTTACGTCGATCCTTGAAATTCCGTTTTCGGTTATGACGAAAGATTTGAGCTTCCGTCTTTGGGTTATGGCAATATCGTTATCCGTCGTTGCCTCTTTGACCGCCAAAACCGCCTTTCCAACTTGCTTACTTCAGTCAATCATCCCGTGGGGCCCGTAACACGCAGCTCCTTTGCGATTTGTCCTCTGCACCCTTTGTTGATGAGAGTTGTTGTCCTTTTCATACTAAGCATTTTCGATCTCCTGTCAGTATCTGTAGATCGTTTATGAAAAAATTGAATGAAATGCCATTCTTTGACTAGAGATTTTAGAACTCGCCAGCACTTACTCTATCAAAATAAAATTATTTTTTGAAAACACAAGCCAGATGAACATTGGAGAGATGAACAGGCAAGAACTTATAATCGACAGCCGCACAGGGACAAATCAAATTTCGACCACACATTTGGTATTCCGAAGTTCATAAACGCATTTGTCCTCGTTTTTTTCAAGAAAGTTTGATCGTTATTTTTAGCATTATTCCTATGCAATAGTTTCGTTTTCGATGGCTTGCGGTCGGTGACTTGAAGGGTAATGAGAACATTCACAATGTTTATGCTTTTAAATTGAACTGCCGAGTGACAGGACTCTCCTTTCGATCCTTTCTCTCGGTCGTAGGACACTCTGTTTTCAGGGTCTAATTCTAGTGGAACTGTTCCCGTTAAAACTGAAAATAACAAGGTTAAGTTAATGTTCTAATCTGTTAGAAAATACCCTCGGGATTGCAAGAACATTGTAATCTTTTAAAAAATAAGCAAGAAAAGATAAAGAGAAATGGTTTCATGAACAATGTTCGTTCAATATACCCACCCGCATAACCAATCATTTTAGTTTTCGATCCCTTTTGATAGCAATTCTAGTAAATTTGGATAGTTGCCTTCATTTAACACGCCAAACTAATTTTGGTTTTCAACCGTCGTAAGAGAGCAGATATTGGCCCAATATTCTGCTCTCTTGCGATTATCAATCAGGATGGAGCATATTTAAAGGTAGAACCACAAAACATTCAGGTGTCATCATTCTGAGTTAATGCTTTTAAGTTGACAGAACTTTTACCATCGAGTTCATATTTCCCTCTTTATCCCTGCTTTTTCCCTCAGCTTTTGTTTTTGTTGTTTTTGTTGTTTCGTTTGGCGAAGGGTTCTTCCAAGTGCATGAAAAACTTGATTAATTGGTGTTTTAGGTTGGAATGAAATAAGTGGCTTAGAAATAATCACTGAACCAAATGAAACGACAATTTCCTTCACTGGATCCAACCAAACATTTACTTGGAATTTTAACCTCACTTTGGAGGAGAAATCAAAGCAACCGACAGTCATCTTTGCTCACTGGAGAAAAGAAGGCGAAAGTATTTCAGGTTACCACTGGGTAACAGTTATTCGAGAATCATATGGAAGCGAATCAGTGAAAAAATATACAGAGGCCTTAATCACAAGGCGTTTACAGTGGGTGGGAGACTTGGCCCGTGGCTTTGTGGCTTTCCAACTTCTGAACGTTCAATTAAACGATTCTTCCGATTATGGGATCAGGTTCTGCATTGATCGTTGCCGTCATTTAAAAGAAAGTGGGTTTACACTATTCGTTCAGGTAAGAAATAATTTCTTTTCCAAAAAAATCTGTAACTTTCTAAAAGAGTACTCCACAGTTCGAGAAATGGTCATTTGGGCATTAGATAAACTGGAAGAGAAGAACTTTGTCAGGTAAAACGCGCGAGCTATAAGCTTTGCGCAGTCACTTCTTTTACATTATTAATGATGTCTGTTTCATCAAAAATCTCTTTGTAACGCAAACAATTTTTCCATTCGCGTTTGTTGGATACGAGATTGGCTACAGACAACTCGACGCAATGCGCCTTGTTGGCTATTTACCGTCTCATATCCAGCGCGCGCTTGTGGAAAAATTGCTAATCGAGCTGATTGGCTGTTTCGGAAGTGAATAGCATATATTATTCACTTCCGAGCAGCCGAGGAGACAAAATTACTCTTCACGTGTTTATATAGTTTTTTTTTGGCATCTGTGAGGTATATGCTAAAAAATTATTTACCTCAGTGTCGGTGAAAGTGTCTGATTGGCTGTTTCGGAAGTGAATAGCATGTATTATTCACTTCCGAGCAGCCGGAGAGCCAATTTTAAAACATTATTTACCTCAGAGTCGGTGAAAGAAGTGAATATTTACCTCACTGCTTCGTGACTCGGTAAATATCCACCACTTTTCATCTCCTCTATCGTGATTATTGATAACTTTTACCTCCAAGCAACGCGCGCAGGAATTGCAGCAGGAATCGTTGTAGGAATAATCGATTTAGAATTTTTTCTGTGCCATACTGTCTCAATGTTTTAGTACATACTAAAGCAAATACTCACCTCAGTGTCGGTGGCTTGCGATGGATATTTACCGAGCTGCAAAGCGGCAAGGTTAATTTCCACCACTAGCAGTGGTGAATGGTTGTGAAGTGTACGAGTTTTCCCAGGTTTGCTTCAATGCTATGTTTTTTAGAGTTTTCACAGGCGGAGAGCCACTTTGTGAAGTCTTGTAATTAGACTTAAGAACAACATTTCTGCCCTCACAGGATCCACCTCCATCACCAACGAGACCACCAGGTAATCCCTCTCTTTTCTCCTTTTCCTTAGAATACATAGATAACTGTTAACCGTTAACCGTTCGATGTTCAATGCTTATAATTTTTTTGTCGAGAAATGTAATTGTTATTAGACAGGCTGTCCTGAAAATGCTAAAATCACGACTGTAAATGTCAGTGATGGAGTCAGTTGATTGACGCGCAGGTTGAGTTAGCGAGCCTTTTTGTGAGGAGTTAGCCTGACATAAGTTTAGAAGGGGTTATAGATGTTCCTAATGATAGAAATGGTGCAACCGTGTCTGATGCAGACGCTGGAGATCATAAACATTCTTTATCATTCAGAACCTGAAAATATAACCCTCGAGATCAAGGAAGGAGAACCACTGAACATCACTTGCCGTGCCAGAATGAGGACGGAAAGTACATCTGTCATGTGGCTGAAAGACAACCGACTCATCAAGAAAGGACGAAACAGATTCCTCTTCATTCAAAGTATAAATAAATCACAAGCTGGAAGCTATATGTGTGTTTCAATGTCCCAATTCGGAGATCACAGCCCGTCTTTTACTGCTGTTGATGTTCTATGTGAGTATTTTGAAGTGTGCCCAACTCATCTGTTGCTAGTTTAAAGTGAAGCCTCTATTTTCTAACAAGAGAATCCCGCTATCCATCCATAGATTTTTCCATAAAATTAATGCACTTTTGAAACATACCGGGAACTTTTTGATGCAAAAATTTCACACTAGGCCATAGAAGAACCGATTAAGCCCGAGAAGTGTTTACCCTTGAGTAAATTTTTGTCTAAACAGTTTTCCTTCTTTCAGATGCACCGAAAATAATCAACCCTAATAAAAAAGTGGCTTTGGAGTTAACAAGAGGAAATTCAACCAGGCTTAAATGTGCAGCCAATGCAAATCCTTCCCCGACTTTCACTTGGTACACGCACGATGGAGAGATTACGCAAGGTTTTTCACATACCTCAAACTCAAGTTCCTTGATAGTCACTCCCATAAATGAAAGGGACTTTACAAGTTACATATGTCTAGCAACCAATAAGATAGCGAATGACTCGGTGACGTTCACGTTGCACGAAAAGGGTAAGTATAATAACAGCCTGGTCACGATATCTATTTTGAGTTAGAACAGTTACCAAAGCCTTGCATCCCAGGAGACCTCAAAGATCCATTATGCAGATAGTAACTCGGTTAGTTACACGAATCCACAAATAACGAGAAACATAGTATCCATGCGCACGGAATTAACGCTTAGAAAGTGGACTGTAATTATTATGACTGAGCCTAGTTGATAATCGTGTCTTTTACTGGTCAAAACCATGATAAATCGTGAAATATCCCACAGGTATCAGAAAACACCCAAAGTTACACGAAGAACCTGAAACAAGTGCCCCCAAAAATGTCAATGCAGGTTAGTTCCACAGGAGAAAAGTTCATGAATATTACTCTCTAGCATTCGGAATTATTTTGAAAACAGTTACTTAGCTTAAATTCTGCATACTGCGCGCTCAATTTGACCGCCTATATGTGAACATTTTCGCACGAGCTTGAACGTTATTTAGATTATATCGTTGAGCCCTTCAGAAATTATAATTTGGAATTTTCCGTCGTTATATTATGCACGACAAAGCAATACATAACATCGTTTTACATCAAGGAGATATGCCTTGTGATGAAAAATTCCAGTTTTTTCTGGCGGGAAGACGCATCAACTTTCGGGCCATTTTATAGGACAGACTGTGCTAACTGGGAGAAAATTCCAAATTTTAGGGAGTAAAGAAATATTTCAGTTTTCTAAGTTTCCTTGGGTTTTGTTAGAACCTGTATTTTCAATGTCCTTAATTGCCGATTAAATTAGATTATGAGTGATTTAGAAGAACTATTCTCTCGAAAACAGATGGCAGAGAGTCACTCACCAAGTACCTGTCTATAACAGCGGGCTTAGCGGTGATCGCGATCTTTGCTCTCTTCATCAAACGATATATGGCTAAGAGATCCAGAGGACAGACAAATCAGCGAACACGTGAGTAAATATCTGGTTAAAAACTAACCTTATAAATGATTTTGACATACATTGTCTTATAGTTTTATACGCTGTTAATTAATGATGCTGTGAGTAACGTGAATTAATTTTGCCATTTCAGGTGAAGAAGCCGATGAGCTCCAAATGTATGTATTTATTAATTCCTGAATGAATTATCACTCCCTATCAAACAGGAGGCAAGAGGTTTTCGCAGAATGAATACTTTTAAAAATAATGACTAACAACATAGACTAAAAAGCAAACCGACCTAATTCACTTTAGTCGAATGTTTTTCTAGTGCCGTTTGTGTCTAACTCCAGTTATTTTTCCCGTCATCTCTGCCACTCCTCACTCTCCCCCTTCCCCCACCAATATGGCTGAGTATAGCCTAAGCTCTGACGTTATCTATTACCAGGGTGTCCTTGAGATCGCAAGCCACATGCAACGAGTTTTTTCCAAATGGAGCTTGCAACGTATCCTCATCGAGTGACCCTGAATGGGAAATACCGCGAGCAAGGCTGAATGTGGAGAAGGTTATTGGGCGTGGCGCATTTGGCGTGGTGTCACGAGGCTTAGCGTTTGATCTGCCGGGAAAACCAGGATGGACTGTGGTAGCAGTGAAGAGCGTTCAAGGTTACATTTCCCTTTATTTTCCATTAAAAAAAGACCTTTTGTACACTTGGAAAAAAGACTCTAATATAAGAAATACATGGACACTTAAAACCATCAAGCTTTGATCCGAGCAATGTCGTAAACATTTGATGAAATTATCAGTGTGGCGCTGGAGAGAAGTTAGATTTTATAGAATTGGTCATTTTAATGTTGATTAAATTCTGATTTAAATGGAATTTTGGTTTGTTGGTATTTACAAAGATGATGCTTCAGAAAAAGAGAAGGCAGACCTGTTGTCAGAGATGTCACTCCTTAAACACCTAGATCCTCATCCTCACGTCATCCGCCTTTACGGTTGTGTTACTATTGAAGGTGAGCTTGAGGTAGTGGCATCTTTGCTGTCAATGTCATCTGTGGAAGTGTTGCCGGGGTGCACGGGTCTTGCTTCATCGTTACGTCGTCCTTGCATGTATATGCGTCAATTACAGTTTGTAACTAGGTGTGCTGAGATTATGCAATGATCTCAGCACACCTTGAACTACTGTGTGTAAATTACATAGTGGAAAGGCCTTGTTTCCAAATATTCTCAGATAAGGGGGCCTGCAAAGTTGCTTACAGCTCGTACAGCTGATAAAGAAGCTCCTGAGTCTAACCAAAGTCCTCTGAAAAGTGTTGTAAACGCATAGGGGAAAATTTCTTTGGACAAATGGACTATATAATCAACATCATCTTCATAATTAGTTTACTTTGCGACACTTGTTAAAGACTTCTAAAAGAAATCCAGTTAGTCATGAACATGATCAGCTAACTCAAGTGTCTAGTGAATAAATCGAGAAATAGCTGATAACCAGAATATATTGTTAATTGAAGGCCACTTATAGGTACAGATGAAATTTCTCGTATTTCAGCCCGGCCACTCGTAGTTGTCGAGTATGCACAGTATGGTGACTTGCTTGGGTACCTGAGGAAGAGCCGAGGAGTTCGAGATAACTACTACAGTGATCCCTCGGTAGAGCCCCGCACCAGCCTCACTTCTAAGCAACTGCTTCGGTTTGCTTGGCAGATCAGTGATGGAATGGACTACTTGTCGAAGAAAAAGGTTATAAAGTCACCTGTTGTGTTTCTTGTAACAATTCAAAAATTTAATCTGCGACTAACTCGCTGCTACTTTGCTCACAGGATGTGTTGGAGAAGTCTGTGTGTTCCAAGATTTCATTACCCTTACCAATCTTGCTAACTCTGGGACATTAAGGCCCTTCAGATAAATACGTTATAATTATTACTATTCTAATGTTGATTTTTTTAAGTATCAGGACAGAAGTATAGATATGAATATCTATGTTAACCCAAGTAGTTCGAAAGTCAATTTATAGCTATATTTCGTCACTAGATCATTCATCGCGACTTAGCCGCGAGAAATGTTTTGGTTGGTGACGAAGACGTTTGCAAAATCACAGATTTTGGAATGGCCAGAGATGTTTGGGCAGAAGATATATATGTTCGAACCCACGAGGTAATTCTTCACAACATATTTGGAAATAACTTGTATCTGAGCCGATTGATTTAAAAGAGTGTACTTGTTAAAAAAAAGCACAGTTGTTAGAAGTTACTAAATAGCCTACGTGAAATTAACCTGCTCATCATTTTTTCGAAAACCACGCAACTGCAAAGTGTGCACGTTTGCGATAGGGCAATTTAATATAACATAAACGATAACTTTCAGTTTCGAAATACAATATGGAGAGAAAGTGTTTAAACTCACTCATGATTATGTTATTGTGATCTTTGGTTTTAGGGCCGTCTTCCAATTAAATGGACGGCTCCCGAGGCTCTATTTGGAAGTGGTGCATATACGACACGGAGTGACGTGTGAGTTTGTTTTGTACATAATCATTCGCCCAAATATCACGAGAACATATTGTGAAATTCCCTGAAATAATCAAAATCATAGCAGCGTGCGTGCAAGTCCTATGAAATTGCTAAAGAGCCACCTTGGTAAAAATTCTTAATTTCGCAATGGCTATGCATCCATAAGATGACATGTTCGGTTTTACTTCGGCTGAAACTTCCCGTTCAGTTTAGCAGCGAAGTTCCAAATTTTCAAGACTTTTTTTCTGTTCTATCCCGATTGAGATAGACCTTAGGAAGCTCAAAATGGAAAGAAAATATGCTAAATAGAACTCGTTTCGAAAAAAGATTAACATGTCGCTGTTTCAAGCGACGAAATTAGTTTCTGAGTTGACGAAACTTAATTCTTAAACGCGATGGGAATTATGACCGAAAATAAAACTGGGTTTTGTGACTTAAACTGAACCTTTGCGACGTTAGGGACTCTGCATTAGAACGGTAAATATTATTTTGAAGTTTTGATGTGTCCCAAAAGTGTTGTTTAAGAGAAGATTTTGTTGTGAAAGAGTTCAGAATTTTCCTCACAAAGCTACGCAATTTTCTGATCGTAAATTCAGGTAAACAACCATTAAAGCAGGTAAATCTTCCACTCGGGTCTCGTAAATGCAAGAAGTTTTGAAATTTTTTCGTTTCGATTTTTTTAACGATTGATATATTTATATTAATAGCCGTGAATTCTGGTAAACAACGATTCAAGAATGCTGAATCGATATCGCGCTTGTAAGAATTTCGTTCGTTTTTCGCCTTCTGAGCAGAAAATTTACAATTATTTGAGTAAATATTTCTTGGTCGTTTTTGCCGGGTAATGTATTCATAGTTTTTGGGTAGAACAGCTGACAGTTACCAAGTGGACCCAATACAGTTGTAATAAGGTCTCTTTTATTTCGAGTGCGATTTGTGTCTGCATACCATGTTATGAAAGAATTGGTTCATGCTTCAGCTTTGCGTATATCGAGTTATGGTTGCGCGCGGGAAGTTAGAATTACGCTTCTCTCGTGCGCTCCAAACTTCCAGCGTGCACCCAGAACTCGATATACGCACGTTAAGCATGGACCAATTCTTTCATATTTTGCGTTTGAACACGGGACGATGGTCTGGACTGTGGGAATCTCAGTTAGGAAGTAAAACGATAAGAGAATCAACCCCTTTTTTTGTTTCTGTTTTACAATTTGTTATCAAATAATTTTGGTTGACTAGTTTTGGCACGATTCATTGAGATCAACGAAATTATATTCAGTGCAATTTTCTCTTAGTTCTCTTTCAAACCGCTTTTATCAGCTTCTGATGTTCAGCTCCGGAAATATACTTTTCCAAAACAAGAATGGACAACTGAAAGGACTTGATATTGTCATTTAACTGACTGGCTAAGCATCGTTAGCCCCCTTACTCCCAAGATCTCATCAGAAATTCCCCTTACTCTTTTTCATTCAATCCTTATGATGTTACTTTGGAGAATCTGGCATTGGATCAAATAAAAATCCCTTTATTGATAATTTTCTTTATTCTCGTGACTTGTCTGCTAGTATTGCGATATTGTAAGGGGAAATTGTGTCTCGATCACTCATGAGAGTTAAAGGGTAAAGCTAAGGCGCTGTTCCCAGGTTCAAGCTCTCCATCCTGCTTCTCACTGGATTTCGTCTTTGTTGCCCCCCCTCCAGTTAAATTGGCCTCCTGCCAGTTGGGGCTCTTAAACATTATGGGCCGGTAATTTAAACCAGAGCCGTTCTTTCACAAAATTGCGTTCTAAGCCATCTTCAATTTTTCCGAACCTTTTATCTTATTAATGTTTATTTTCAATTTGTTTAAACTGGAAGGCCATAATTTTATCAGTTTTTAACTGATTAGTGTTAACTTCAGCAAACAAAGTGTTTTTATCATTCAAATGAAGCAAAACATTTGAATAGGCTCGCGTTTTTATTATTATATAAATTTAGGTGGAGCTTTGGTGTGGTCATGTACGAGATCTTCACTGTCGGTGAGTTAAAATTTGAGCTTACTGAATGCATAGATGCAAGCGGCTCTGTGATTTTCAAGTATTTCCTTAGGACGTACTCGTTATGTGAAGTTGTTAGCGATCAGGCAAAAAATAACAAAAGAGATAATAACAGAAAAAAAAACAAAAAAAACGAAGGAATACAGCGATAAGGTCCTGGGATCCCAAAATCGCTCTCAAAGGAAACTCCTTCCTGACATTCCGTATTCAGTAAACAACGCTTGTTTCTGTCATGGGGTTTTCACATACTATTGCCTGTGCACGTCGTCAGTCGAATAACGCTTCTTAAGATTCACTATGATGTTTTAGGTACTCTTTTTCTAATAAGGATTACTTTTTAAATTTTCTGTAAACACTTAATAGGTGGTGACCCGTTTCCAGGGGTGTATATGAGAGATATCCCAGCCATGTTGAAGAACGAGTACAGGATGCCGCGCCCAAAATTTGTCAGTGCAAAACTGTAAGTAATTATTATCGTAAAGTAGACAGTCACGATTTTTAGGCAACAAAAGCAATGATGCTCAAATTTCATTTGCTTTGTTCTCTATTACACTATAGCCGAGTGCTTATACAGAGATTATTATTTAAGTCAAGAACGAGCCGAGCGAGACACGATCGATCGATACACTTTGACATTTGAAAGCTGGGACAGCGGATAGAAAAGTTGTGACAAACCCTGGTTTAAAAGGGAAATGTTACTCCTTGATTCGAGATTATCGGCAGTTTTGCCATCTAATGTTGTTATGTAGTGAGAGACAACATTGATATTATGTCTAGTTTGAGCATGTTATATGACGACCTTTCCCTGTTTCGTGCTCATTTTTAAGTACCTGTCTATGAAAGCACGTTTAAGGAAGCTCGGCTGATGGGGCCAGAAACCAAAAGGAATCTAAAGTAAATGGAAGTATATACCTGCCTCGCTGTATCGATTATATACCCGCCTTGTGCTGGTTTGTGAATAATTTGGGAGCTTTAGTCTTATTAAGCCACGCTGTAACAAGATGTAGGCCTCTATATTGCATATGTGTACTATACGTTGAAACAAATCCATTAAGGAAAATCTTTACATGAAAAATATACGGAAGATCGAAAGGACGTCATAAGTTAAGTTAGCTAAGTGTATATTCACAATAAACTCTTATTATTATTATTATTATCATTATTATTATTATTTTTCTTTCAAACAGGTTCAAAATCATGATGGAATGCTGGAAGACTGATCCCTTAAAGAGACCAGACTTTGAGTGTCTACGGTCACGAATACACAGCATGACCAGGGATGAAGAACAGGTCAGGACTGAAATATTTGATTAAAGAGCCTTGGTCCATTGATGTGTGAGATATCTCGTCAGATCTGTACGTTTAAATTAAAATCAATTTTCTGCTCTCTCAAAGCCATTATGATTATAATTTGACAATATCGTGGCTTCTCATCTAGTTATTTTTCTCGTATTTGTTTTAAATGGTCGCTTTCTATTCTTCTTAGGACTATGTCAACTTGGAAGGGCTGTTGTATGAAAATGTGCAACCAACAAGTTTTACAGAGGAGTGTTCGGCATAGCGATTGAGCTAAATCTAACGAACCTTAACACAGATGTAGTTCCTAGGCAAAGAAAAATATAAACAGGCTAAAAGCCAATGGCAATCAAAGAATAGTAAAGCACGTTCGATGAGATATTTTTAGTGAGAAGGCCGGGAGTACCGGAACAAAAGAGAAAAGGGAAATGGAGGTAAATTAATACATTTGTACTCTAAAACAATCTGCTATTTCTAGTAAAGTACATAGAAATGTTGCAATAGTATCAGTGGAACAATAAATTTGAACCATGTTTAACAAGACCAGGGTGAAATGAAGGCAATTTGATGCAGTTGTCTTCCAAAAAAATCTGCCACTTACATGACTCCGCGTCTTAGTTTTCTGAGGACGAGTCAGGGCCAATTTCCGAGTTACACAGCAAGGTGATCTCGATGACCTAGTTTTCTGAACACAAATCAAACTGTGCAACTTAATGGGCTAAGTAAAAACATGGACATGAGAGTAAAATTATTTCGTAGGAGTTCACATTCATCCGTTTTGATGACACAGCTATAGTTTTTTTTGTCGAAGATCAAAGCCCCAAACTGCAGTTTAACAACGGGAGTCGAACATACTTCTGTAAGAGATAACCCCATTATTTATAAGTCAACATATTAAAAGGCAAAATTTACCACTTATCACTTCACTGTGTAACTTATCGAGTTCGTATCGAATTCAAACACTCTCTCCCTTTCGCCAGACCGCACTTGGCTTTGTGATGATGTCATTCGTTTTTGACGCTGCTAGTATTCGTCAGAGATTAAACAGTTCATACCCTCTTGGTATCCTCCGTAAGTCCCATGAAATTACGCACTTAAGTCTATATTATATCTCCTTTGTCGAACGCAAAAAGAAGACGGAAAAATTGATGTCGTTTGCACCTTTGGTTTAAGGTGCAGACACGTGAGTGGTAATAGTTCAAAATCTACTTAAGCTTCAGGTGTCCTACCATTAGTCGAAAAAATACAACACATTGAAGTAATCGAGTTTCCCATCACTTTTCCCTACATTTTAACGTCGCCTTGAAAACGGAGTGACTACTCGGAAACGTCGCTTTTGTCTAAACCAGTACTTGAACTGGAGCTGCAACTACGATATGGGTTCCCGCCTCTCAATAGTCGAATTCCTGAGATTAAGCTCTGGACGTGAACATCGTTCACTAAATTTTCTTGGTCAGGGAGTGAGGAAGGATTCCATTGGTGACCATTAATTACCATTTAAAGTCATTGACTCGAGAAGTGAAGATATTAATAGAAATGGGGAAAAACTGTACATTCATATATTATTTAACGAATAAATGCCTATATCTACAGGATATTTATGCGTGAAGTATCTGTACAAAAACCTAGAAGCTGCGTAAATGTACTCCTCACTACCTGCATATTGCAAGTAAATTTTTAATCCAGCGAATGCGTTTGTAATCAGTATTTAAGAGCCATAGCTCAACGTTTCAAGTTAAGAGAGGGATCATCGAATTTTTTATTAAAACATCATTTAAAATGGCGCGGCAACTTAATTGAAAACAAGATGCAAACAAAGGAAAGACTGTAATTGATTCAAATATGACAAATTTTAAAGCTGATTAGTTGTTAGGAAAGGCAGTCATCTTTGATCACACGATACTGCAGTGAGCTTTTTCGTTTCCAGTAGCTAGCGAATTATGAAATTTAGTATGGTACACACTAAATCACCATGGAAACGAAGCAAATGAGCTCAGCGGAAGGGGACTAAGGATTAGCCTGTGTCTGATTATGTTGCATAGTAGACTTTGCACTTCTCGCTCGAATGCGCACAACAACAATTTGTCTTAAGAATTAAGATGGAATGGTTATGGTTCGTTTTGCTTTATCTCAGCTTTATCCTGATTCCTTTGTTCTACCTTTGGTATAACGGGTATTTTATCTGCAACACCCTTACGCGAGTAAATGGGGATGCATTGGCAGTAAATGTTGTCGACAAAATCGACAACAGCACTAAAGATGAGATTCGAGGTAAAAAGGCGCCTGGTATTTTGTGCAAAGGATTAAAAACGTTGGATGAAACGAAAACAGGCGTAGAAGCTGCTTCGAAGACATCTATTAACAATACCAGACGGAAGGCCGATCAGGTAAGCGTCTCTTAGACAATTGAAGGCCGTTCCTTGAAACTGTAGTGCACTTATTCATTATTTAAACAAAGTAATTGAAATCGAGCCAAACTGAGGAAGCCAGATTTGAATAACTAACTCAAACACACGTCTAATCAGATGAACTGAATTTTGCTACCGTGGCGAAAAAGTAAAGAATAAAAAATTCGAAATGTGTTATTAGGATAATTTTGGCAAACTTACCGAAAAGCGTATGCAT